TCTGAGGGGGGTGGGCTTAAATGTGAGGCGGGAAAAGGGGTCCAGACCTGTGGGCACAGAGACATTCAAGGATTTGGTGAGGAGGGGGCCGTGTGGGCTCAGGGGGCAGGTCAAAGGGGCTCGGGGTTCACTCTCCTGGGGGGGCTCTCTCCTGGGCCGGCTGACCTGTCTCTGCTTCCCACAGGCGCTGGGACTGGCTGGGCTGGTGGGAGAGGCGGAGGAGCCAGAGGGGGAAGAGGAGGAGGGAGAGGGGCCCCTCTGTTCCGAGAAGAGGTTCTTGCGACTCAGCGACGGGGCCCTGCTCCTCCGGGTGCTGGGCATCATGTAAGGGGCATGGGGGCCAGCCTAGGAGCTGAGGGGAGGGGTGGGACAGGCTGCTGGGCAGAGCCTGAGGTCTGGGGGCGGAGCCTGGTTGAGGGGAGGTGGGTCCTTGATACCTTTCCAACCAATGCCCCCTGTGTCCACAGTGCTCCTAGTTCCCGAGGGGGCCTACGGATAATCAGGGGCCATGACAGCCCCGCAGCCCGTCGGGTGCGGAACCTGAACCTCCTGTGGGGCCGACTGAGGGACTTCTACCAGGTGAGGGCTTGGGAGGGGAGGCTGAGTTGGGGGCTCTTTGCAGGAAGGTCCATCTCATTATCTCCTCCCCCTTCCCCCCCAGGAGGAGCTGCAGCTGCTGATCCTGTCACCACCCCCTGACCTCCAGACACTGGGGTTTGACCCCTTCTCAGGTACTCTCTCCCACCACCCCTTCCTGCGTCTACCCTCCCGCCACCTGTTAACCCCCTGTGCTTGTGCCCTGCAGAGGAGGCCATGGAGGAGCTGGAAGGCATCCTTCGGCTGTTGCTGGGAGCATCGGTGCAGGTGAGAGGGAGGGGAAAGGGCAGGGTCCAGCTTTGGCTGCAGAGGTGGGACACTCCTGTGCCAGCCTCCCCAACTTGTTCCCCTACAGTGTGAGCACCGGGAACTCTTCATCCGGCACATCCAGGGCCTCAGCCTGGAGGTCCAGAGTGAGCTGGCTGCTGCCATCCAGGAGGTACGGCTTTGGACTGGCACTATCTGGGGACACCCTGCCCCTGACTTCTTAGGCTGAACTGCTTTCTCTACTCACCCAGGTGACCCAGCCTGGGGCGGGCATAGTGCTGGCACTGGCTGGGCCGGAGCTTGGGGAGCTGACACCTCCAGAGCTGGAGATGCTGTCCCGGACCCTGAGGGGGACATTACTGAGACTGGCACGGGAGCGTGATATGGGGGCCCAGGTATAGGGCAACAGGGGTACAGAGGGCCAGATGTAGGAATGGGAGGACCACAGGGACCCCATATGTGGGGGAGATAGGTGCTGAGGCCCAGGTGTGGGGTTGGGGGTCTTGGGGCTGCAAGAGCCAAATTCAGCTTGTGGTGCTTGGGGGAAGATGTGGGAGGTGTAGTTTACTTCTGACCCCTGACCCCTGACCCCTGATCTCCCACAGCGGCTGGCTGAACTGCTGCTGGAGCGAGAACCAGCCCCTCTGTTGCCGGAGGCTCCTGCTAGGACTCCCCTGGAGGGCCCCTCCAACCACCTGGCCCTGCAGCTGGCCAACACCAAGGCCCAGTTGCGGCGCCTGCGCCAGGAGCTGTGAGCGCAGCAGGGAGAGGGCAGATTAGGGCTAGATGGGGCCCAGCCCCGTGGTATGGGTGGGACCAGGCCTGGGAAGGGCTGCGGGTTGCTGGTCCCCAGACCCCTCCAGCGTCTTTTTCCTCCAGGGAGGAGAAGGCCGAGCTGCTGCTAGACTCCCAGGAGGAGGTGCAGGGCCTAGAGGCGGAAATTCGAAGGCTCCGCCAGGAGGTGCGTTCAGATGCTTCCCACCAGCGCAGTAGTTCCTAACCTTTCCCCCGCACCGCGCGCGTCCCATTGCCTCCCTGTGCCCGGGCTCCTTCGCGTCCCCAGTCCCTGTGGCTGCGGCTGGCCTGTCCCAGCTCCGCTCCATCTGGCCCAGGCCCAGGCGCTGTCGGGACAGGCCAAGCGGGCCGAGCTGTACCGAGAGGAGGCGGAGGCGCTGC